AGCAAATCAAACCTGAACTCTCCCTAGAAGCCAAGATGACTAAACTGTTGTTCTTTGTGCATATTGTGAGAAGAAATGATTCACTAGAAAAGACAATATTGCTTGGTAAGGTAAAAGGCAGTAGGAAAAGAGGAAGACCAATGCATCTGAGGAAGGAGACTTAAGTCTACGAAAGCTCATGCTGCCAACTTCTTTCTTTCGGTTATTAGTCTCAAAGGTGCTACAAGATCTCTCTACATACTGATTCTACAGACTAACATGGCTGTATCTTTGGACTCAATGAAGGAAGCCATGTCCCTGGGTCTGCAAGATCTGAGCTCCTGTTGGTGATAGCGTGACTTGGAGGTCTCTCATTCATAGGGTTGTCATAAGTGAACGTTGACTTGACAAAGATGAACCTATCAAGGAGTTTCCTTGGCAAGATTTTGTTCAGCGGGAGTTTACCATTGCCTTCCTCTCAGGCTGAGGGAGTATAACTTACCTCAAGCTACACAGTGGATTTTCAAGACTTGATGGACATCTGAACCCTGTTTTCCAGAAGTCCTGGTCCAACACTCAAACCACTACATCATACTGTACAGTATTTACACTGATTTTATTTTTAAAAAACCAACAACTTTATTTTGCACTCTTTGACTGCACAAGTGGATCTTGTTTGATCCTGTCCTGGGACATCAGGCAAAAATGGTTTTAAATTTGATTTGTTTCACTGAAAACTAAGTAGATAATTAAGTAAAAGTAGTGAAGTAGAAAAACAAGTAGATAGACAAATTTATCCTTCAGTGCTAATGTAAATAGCAATAAATGTCAATAACATTACCTGTCAGGAATCAGGGAAAGCTGACGCACGATTCTATCATATAATGTATTGTATTACACTCAAAGCAAAGCCAGGCTGGAGGAAAAAGCACAGCATTTGTTCATCCAGGAGAGACATCATAAAAACTGAACAGGGTTCTCTAGGGTTTGCCCTTTAGGGTAAAAGAAAACCCCAGGCAAGGATGCTTCAACATTGGTGCCAAGCATATATAAACCTCAGCCGGTGAAAAAAGAAAGAGGCTGCCCTGCAAGAACTTAACAAAAATGTTTGTACTTGTAATAACGTTGTGTATGGTGCATCCACGAGAGCCAGCGTGGCGTAGTGGTTTGAGCATTGGGCTGAGGCTCTGGAGATCAGGGTTGGATTCCTCGCTGGGCTATGAAATTCACTGGGGGCAAGTCACACTGTCTCAGCCTCAGAGGAAGGCAATGGCAAGCCTCCTTTGAACAAACCTTGCCAAAACAAGACCAACAGGACAGGATGGGTGTATGTGGGTGTTTTGTTTTGTTTTGTTTTGTTTTGTTTTGAAGGCAACACAAGACACAAACACAGATGCAACGAGCCCAATGGCAAAGTCGGAGGAGATGATCGGTCAACCAACCTGCCCCTGCCTCTACTTACCCATCAGGGAGCCTATGAAGATGACCACTTGGGCCACGGTGGTGAAGTGCCGGTAGGTCTCCTCTTCCCTGGAGCTCCCCCGGGGCTCCCCAGAGGCGTTCAAAGCCGGGGGCTCGCTTTGGTTGACTGAAGCCCCCCAGCTCTCAGGGTCGCCCATGGCCAGCGGGGCCTCCTCTCTCTTTCTTAGCAGGCGCCCCGGACGGATCCCACAAGGCTCTTCGACCCACGCCTGGATCCAGCACCACCAGCCGCCTCCATCGTGTTGCTTGCAACTCAAAACCCAGACCTGGAGGATCTGACTTTTCCTGCCTCCTCAGTCTCAAGCCAGGTTTGCCTCCTTCACATCAGAAGCCTCTCCCTCGGGAGTCCCATTTTTGCTTGCGGCCGGATTCGGCAAAGCTCGTGCTGCTACAAACAGACGAAAGCGGTGCCTCCGCCGCTCCCTTCCACTCCCGAGAGCAAGACCTGCTATTTATTCTCCTTGCGGAGTTGAGGCTCTTTCCTCCAGCTTTTCCTTTCACATCCCAGCCAGAGAGGACGCCTCTTTGCCTCTCTCGCCCTGCTAGAAATCTTGAGGCGGGTGCCTTTTCGGATTTCAGCCAAACGTCTCAATCCCAGATGGTTTTGGCCAGGAGAGCCTGAGCAATCGTCTGCCCCCACCTTTGGCACCTGGGTCGCCCTCCTTTTGTGCCAAGGATCACAGAATCGGACGCGCAACTAATCCACTGTCTGCACTGAGAGCTGCCTCTTTACTCTGGGTACCAATTACTCAATGGCTTGCTTGCTGCCGCTTTTCAGAGAGAGAGAGAGATCACATGACCTTCAGCGGTGGGCTTTGATTTTTTGGTGGCAGCCATCTTGCCTTTTGGAGCTGTCAGTTCAATGTCTGTGTCAAAAACACTCCAGGAGTGGATGGGGAGGTCTTCAGGATTCAGAAAGTTGATGTAGCTTCTTGGTGTTTTGTTGTTTTTTTTAAAGTAATTTTATTGTGGAAAATCAATCAAGGCAATACACATGAATTCATTAAGGACCAACTTGGCAATTCCACCAGTAAACAACAATACAACAAAAGAAGCCGTAGAAGCTGTGTTTCAAAGGCCAAAATAGAAGTGAGAAGGAGAACTTAAAGGTCTTCTGTTACTTTCTCTGAGTATGATTCCTTTGTGAAACCTCTTGGATAATGCCCTTCCGGAAACCCAAGTGATGAGCTTCGGACAATTGGTGTTGTTAACAGAGTCCAGGAAAGGGAATCAGGTCTCTTTGAAAGGTTTACAAAAAATGTCTCATTTCTTAGAACTTTTGATCCTGCAACCTTAAATTATATTTGTTAAATTATACATGGGGAAATTTATTCTAGTGATGTTTCTTCTTCTCTTTTTTAAAACTTACAATGCAAAGATATAGCCATCTTAGGGCCTTTGCAGACTGCCAGAAATAGTGCAAATTGAGTCCACTTTAAGGGTTAGGGTTAGGATTAGGGAATCATGGGAACTGTATTTTATTGTGGTACCGAACTCTCTGACAGAGAAGGCTCAATGTCTCAGAAAAAAAACAAAAACTGTTCCCATGATTCCCTAGCACTAACCCTAACCCTTAAAGTGGACTCAATTTGCACTATTTCTGGCAGTCTGCAAGTTTGTAAGATCAGTATGGAAAAAGGTCTTATAGCCCCTTTGAACTAAATGAAAGAAAGAAGTAGATGGTATGAACTTTCCTAGACTTCAGCTGACTTCCTCTGATGCATCTGAGGAAGTCAGCTCAAGTCTTCAAAAGCTCATGTTACCAATTTCTTTCAGGTAGTCTCAAGGAGGATACAAGTTAACTTACAATAGTTACAACTTTTAGGACTAGCTTACTACCATCATCAATTCTGTCTAAATACCCTAAGGCACCAGATCCTGTCTGATCTTGGAAGCTAAGCAAGGTCAGCTTCACTTAGTACTTGGATGGGAAACCACCCACAAATACCATGTGCTGTAGATTATATCTTAGAGACTGCATATTTCTTTCTTAAGAAAACCCTATGAAATTTATGGAGTTGCCATAAGTCAACAGGTGATTTGAAGGCGCGCACACACACATACCACCAGCACCAGCACAACTCACACCTCTGAAAATATGTGTGTATAAAACTGGTTGCTGTACCAGTTGTTATGATGTGATTTTCCATAGCCTTATTTTTGCAAATGACTTTTAGCGACCTAGAGAACAATGAGATCAACACACAGCAAGAAAGCTGGCTTTTAGGGCATTTTAGCTGTAGTTTTTACCTGCTCCTTTCTTCTCTACAAGAAGAGAGGCCAAAGAAAATGTGGTGGTTTCCTTGTGTAAGAGCACTGGATGCTTAAGATGTTTTGGAATATTTGTTTTATATTTCTAAATAAACACATACAACATGGTGGAGGCAAACAAGAATTGCCACAGTAGAGATTCCCAGAAAGTTACAGCCTTATCACATGAGAAAAGAGAGTTGAAACAGGGCCGGACAATAGTGCCTTTCTCTGTGCCTCTCTGCATGCCATTGGGGAACTTTGTCCTCTTTCCAAAGGAGATGATTGTAAAAGTGTGACTTTTGCCAAACAGATTTTTCCAGTGTGACAAAAGGCATGCTTTTACAACTGTCTCTCTCTGGAAGAGAACAGATGTGCTCCAACTGCATGTGCAGAGGCAAGGGAAAAGCCACTATTGCCCAGCTCCAGTTCGGCTTTCTTTTCTCATGCAATAAGAGAATGTAACATATCCTCTAACATTTCACAGATGAAAACTGCAACACATGAGGCCCAGCAATATCAAAACATGGTCACAATGGCAAAAGTTATTAATGATGAAGAGCACACAAGCTAGGAGTGGCTGCAACAGTTTGCTTTTGTTTGAACCTATTGGGAAGGGCATTATTCCACCACCACCCTTTTCTTCTCCTTATTACCATGCAAGTTGTTTTTGCACTTTAAACTCAGTTTGCAGCAACAGCAGCAAGCTGAGGGAAAAGGGGGAAAGTGGGAGGGAGGAGAGAAATGGGAACATTTAAAAATCAGCTGAAACAGTGGGAGGACAGATTAATCAAGACTGTCCTTGTCAAATTGGAAGAATTGTAGATTGTACCTCTCCCCTCATTTTCAGCCAATATCAGCTTGAAAATTCTCAAATTCTACTGTTTATCTCCACAACCCCTAGGACTTGGTCAGTTTCTGCCATTTCAGACCCCATCAAAGTATATGAGAAGATTTTACAGTGTGCATCATTTTACAGTTGTTTGCACTCTCTCATCATAGAAATCCTTTAGGAGCTCTATGATAGTCATTTTTGTTCTGCCCTAAATTATTTGGTGTTGTCAGGCAAACTGAAAACCTCACTGCTCATTCCAACTCAAGCTCATTTAAAAACAACATCCCAGACTAATACACATGGTTTTCACCACTTCATTGCAGGCACTTGTTTCTATGGTCTTCCTCCTGTTACAGATTCATAATGAGAACTCCCCTTAGGAGTCTTTAGTGAAGAGTGTTATCAAAAGTCCTTATCAAAAGTACTATCAAAAGTATAAGTAAATATTGTCTATCCCAGGGATGGACAACTGCAAAGGGTCAGGATGGCACCTTAAGCCAAACCCACTGCAGGGCACACAAGTCCTGGAAATATGCAGAAATCATGAAAGAATAAAATCTGAAGTGGCCAGCAATGAATTTCTGATTTATTCATGGGGGAGGGTGGGTGGGCTGTCACATGGTTTTGTTGCATATCAGTAATGGCTGGAGGATTCCAGGAACAGAGAATTACCCCTTTTGCCACAAAGTTTATGTGAACAGGCAATGGGTGACTGTTCTTGAACAGAGATGTAAATTTCTCACAAATTTGAAAACTATAACTTTTTTCTCCTACCCCCCTTGGAAATTAGAACCAGAAATTTTCTGAAAATTTGGGGCAAGGAAGTGATATTAGCATTCTTTGCATGTTAAAAATCACTGTTACTTAACATAAAAAGTATTATATACATGATATGATACAATTGTACAGTTTTGTTTGGCAAAAAGTACTGTATGTCATTTTTACTATATTATAAGTACTGTTCAGTTCTGTCAGACAATAGTTACAAATTGAACTCTCCTTTTTAAAAATGTTACAAATAGAGCTACAGTTGCAATGTTCAGATACTGCATGTTGTCTTACATAAAAGTCTTTGTGTGTATGTGTGTGTGTGTGTGTGAGAGAGAGAGAGAGAGCACAGAATAATTTGGGGGATGTAAATATATTAATATCTTGTGCTACACACTTTATTTAAAAATTTTTAAAAACCCAAAATAAATTTTATTCCCCCCCCCCCCGGAAAAGAAGCCTTTGGGAAAAACAGGAGGGAAATGTTTTTTTCCAAATATTCCCAATTTTTTTTTCTGGATCTTCACATCTGGACCGCAAAATTGGCATTGGTCAATTTATCAGAATATCTACATAATACAGCCTTTCTCAACCTATTTATCATGAAGGAACCCTTGAAATAATTGTCAGATCTCAGGGACCCCCTGAATAAAAATTATAGGTCTCAGGGAACCCCTGTATAAAAATTATAGTGAACCCCTGCATTAAAAACAAAAAAAATATATATCTATAGTGCTCTCTCTCTCTCTTAATCATTAGCAATTCTGAAAGCCTTAGTGACCCTCAACCCTAAGGTTCCAGGGAATTCTATTTGAGAAAGCCTAATATAGTAGACAATGTACACCACTTCCAAATTCTTTAGCAATTGAACCTCTCTTCACAG